TCCTTTTTCTGACCCCTGGGTGAAGAGATCTGAAGGTGCAGGTCTTCATCTGGAGGCGAGGGCGGTGCTCTGCTCAGCTGCTCCGAGCTGGAGCGGYGCCGGGGGCTGTGCCCGCCTCTGCCCAGCCCCAAAGCCCGCAGGTGCGGCGGCCCCAGCGGGAGCTCGCCCTCCTCCTCGGAGCCTCCAAATAAATAAAATAAAATAATCATCCTGGTTGCAAACACAAAGCATCGGATTATATTTTTTTTTTGTTCCTCTCCTGAAAGAGTGTTTTTGTCTGCTGGTTATTGCTCACTATTCAATTATACTTCTGGGGATTAGCATATATTTCCCATCCTGCCTCCTCTCTCATTTGCATCCTTCCAAAAGCTYCTCTCTGCTCTTTTCTCCACCTGAAGTCTCTCTTCCCCCTTTCCTCTGAAGTAAAACTAACCCCTTTGCCTGGGTGACCTATAAAAACGCCTTCACTTTTTTTTCCCCCTTCTTTTTTTCCTCCAGTACATATGATGAAAAGCATGAGATCATTGAGATTTTTATAGCCTAAATCTGGCAGGTTTTTTCAAATAACTTAGATGGTGAGATGTAATTTTAGTTTGGGTCCTTGCCTAAAAATAAAGAATAATTATTAGCACATCAGACGTGGATATTGTAAGTGATCGAAAAGGGTTTAAATTGTTCTACAGATACGGGAGCTGCTGCCCTGTGGCAGCACGAAGGTCTGTGAGAAACCTTAATTCAGAAACGGGGTGTTCTGGGTGAGATGGTTTAAAAAAACATAATAAAAGGCATAATAAGAGGGTTAATAAACAATTGGCAGGTGAGATGCTCAAGTCCGAAGCTGCAAGCTGTGTTTTGAGCGCTGGATTTAKAATTAGCAGTGATGTGGTGTCTGTGTTATCAGCCTGGTTATCCAGGAGAGGGGATGGCTGTATCTTCCAGCCACAGAAGGGCTGGGAAAAGCAGCTAGCAGCCAGGCTAGCGTGCCTGGAAGCTTTTCCCAGCCACTTTTTTAGGTATAAAGGTGGTCCAGGGCCGCTCAGACCCTGCTCAGAGGCTCTGGGCTGGGCGGGTTTGTTGGGAGCAGCCCCAGCGGTGCGTGGTCCCAGCGCACCGGGAGTGGAACGATGTGCAGGCACCTGTGTCACTTTAGCGGGTCAGCTTTTTGTCATCGCTCGGGTGACAGGTCTGAGCGCSACCGCCTCGGTCTGCTGATCTGTCCGGACCTCCTCCCCAAAGAGCTCGTCATGTCCCCTGTCCCCCAGCGAGGACAAGGAGCATGTCACCTTGCCACAGAGGAGTCCCATTCTTAGCAGCTAATCTAGAGCGCGGGGAAGGAGTGCCCTGAAATCGCCCGAACCTTGCCTGGAGGCTCAGCGCGGCGCTCCGGAGCCCTTCAAACAAATCTGGGTTAGACGAGGACTTTGCAGCCGGGGCGCTCCCGGGTGCTGCTGCTGCCCCGGGGACGGGAGGGGTGCGGGGGCCGCGGATCGCACTGCTCCGTGGCGAGAGGAGAGAGCTGCCCATCCCATCCCAACCCTGCTCTGCTGCCAGGAGCCTCTCGGCTGGGCTGGCCCTGGCAAACACCCGGGGGAAGGGCTGGGGCTCGCATCCTGCCCGGGAGCATTCCCAGCGTCCCGGAGGGGCTCAGTCCTGGCTGGAATCAGCGCTTTGGGAGGCTGGTGGCACTCCAGRGGCTGGGACGCGARRAGCAAAAGCTGAAGGAGGGTCTCGSGGTTTCCAGCGTGTCCCCTGCGGTGGTATTTTGGGGAGTGCTGGGATACCCTGCTCTGCTGGCGGGGTGTGTGACAGTGACAGGGCTCCTCTCCCTCCCTCGTGCCGCCGAGTGGCCACGCTTTATCATTCTTATCGATTTTGATCTTACAACCAATTTAACAGCGCGGCTCTCCCCAGCCGCTGGGTGCTCCTGGCTTAATTAAGACCCTTTTGTGCTTTCCTGCGGGCAGAAGGAGCTGGACACAGGCTGGGAGACTGATACTGTATGGAAAGGGCTCGGGGGAAAGGGTAAATGCCAGAGAGGGTAAAATATCCCYGTAAATATCGGGGATAAGCGGTGTGATACGCAGGGAGGGGTGGGCGATGCACCCCAACTTCTGCCGGGGCCAGGCTCGGACCCCTGTGCTATGGGGCGGGGAGGAAGAGGAGGCTGGGAAAAGGGGCTGAAACAACCCGGTTTGCAGATGTGAGAGCGCTTCTGCTGCCAGGGTATCCTAGGAAACCCAGCCGCCTTTCTGGAGGGACAGGTTGGTACCTGCTGTACCTCAGGGAGAGGGTGAGAGAAAGAGTGCTAATTGCTCCACGCGCCAGAGAGCTGCTCTGGCCTGTAATTAGATGAATTAGTGGAACAATGACCCAATTTCCCTCGGTTTTTGGATTGYTGCAAACAAGCCTGAGGTTGCTGCCTCCCTCTGTCCCGCTCTCCTCCCCATCCCCTCCTCTCYCACCCCCTGCTGCTCTCCTGCAGCTTTCCTGCTCCTCTCCCAGCAGCTGGGGACCAAWCCGGGATGGGACAGAGCTCTACCAGCATCCCTGGGCACAGCATCCCTGTCCCCDAGTGTTTCCACTCCCTTCTGCCCCAGTTTGTTTTCCAGAGATGGGCTTGAGAAGAAATCTTTGTGTTTTAAAAGAAAACCTCTGGAGTCCTTGCCGTGCYTGCCGCTCACCTTCCAAGGTCATCATCAAACTTTAATTTCTGTGGATTTTGGAATGTGAGCGAGGTTCTCTGCTCCTTCTCAGCAATCCCGGGGGTGGGGCTCTGAGGAAGCTCCACGTGTGGAAAAAGCCAGGGCAGCTGGTGGCTGCAGGGGATGTCACAGGAGCACAGAGGGCAGTGGCTCACACCTCTGGGGCACGGCTTCTGGTCCAAATGCCTTCCTGGAAGGGAGGGTGGTGTGTGGAGATGGAATGTTGGGAGCCCAGGTGGGATCCATGGGTGGTGTGTGACCATCCTGGTGTGTAGGGGGCTGCTGGGACTGGGGAGACCCTGGGTGGCTTTGTCTGATCAAAGTGGCCCATGAATTTGGGTGCCAGCATCAAACAGGACTCGCTGGCCCGTGGCAGCTGTTGAATCTCTGTCCCTGCTCAGTGGCCACGGTTTTCCTCATGGCTTCCCCCAGCTGGCATGAGAACACAGCCCTGAGGTGGCCAAGGGCTTTTCCTGGGCTAACTCTGCTCTGTCCCTGTGTGCCTGCAGCATCCTCGCCACGGCCGGGACACACTTCAACACCCACGTGGACCTGCGGACGCTGCGGGCCGTGCGCGTGCTCCGGCCGCTCAAGCTCGTCTCAGGCATTCCCAGTAAGTGCTCAGGTTTTCCTCCCGGGGTGTCTGCATCCATTTCTGACATCCTTGGAGTGAGAGGGGCCCTTGTGCCACCTTATCCCACCTCTCCACGTGGTGGGAACTCAGAAATGACAGCGCTCAGTGTCCCTGGGTGGCACTGCCCCCTGCCCAGCCCTCTCTGTGCTTGGCAGAGCTGGCAGCTCCTCTTCCCTGGCCAGAAGGYGGTGGGTGGATCCTTTCAGGACCGGGGTTTATTCAGGGGAGATTTCTTGGGGTTTKGGTTYTTTTTTCTTCTTTTTGTTGCAAGATTTCATCTGTTGGCACGGGGATAAATAAAGAAACTAGGCTGCTGCTGGCACTGCTCCCCGTGTCCCTCCTGCCCTGGGACTGGGTCTGTGCCCGGGGGGCAACGAGGGCCACAGAGCTGCACAAACTGTGTGCCACCAAGTCCAGGTGTGGCAAGGACAGGCAGGACATCAGAGTGGGGACCAGAAAAAACCTCTCCTGGAGCCTTGCTCTGCAGCTTGGCTTTGCCTCCCCTGGGATGGTGCTTTCCTCCAGGATCCTSCAGCCCAAAGGGATCCTCCAGGCTGTGCTGGAGGATTGTTCTGATGATTGTTCCTTCTCTCTGCTCCCTGTCTTCCTCACGGGCTGGATGTGCCCCTGATGGGGGGTTTGCATTGCTGCTCTGAGCTGTGCCCTTTCTTTCCCCTCCCAGGCTTGCAGATTGTCCTGAAATCCATCATGAAGGCCATGGTGCCTCTCCTGCAGATCGGCCTGCTGCTCTTTTTCGCCATCCTCATGTTTGCCATCATCGGCCTGGAGTTCTACAGCGGGAAGCTGCACCGAGCCTGCTACACCAACAATTCAGGTGGGGCAGGGGCTCTGYGCCCTCTTCTCATCCCACCAGTGGGAAAAATCTGGGATGAGCTGCCCCTCACTCCGCCTCCTCTGGCTCTGTGCTGTGTGCTCGCAGGTGAATTAGAGGAGCTGGACCCTCCCCACCCGTGCGGGGTGCAGGGGTGCCCCCCGGGCTACGAGTGCCGCGAGTGGATCGGTCCCAACGACGGGATCACGCAGTTCGACAACATCCTCTTCGCTGTGCTGACCGTCTTCCAGTGCATCACCATGGAAGGGTGGACCACAGTCCTGTACAATGTGAGTAGGGCTGCTCTGGGGGMTCGCTGGGCGTGGGGGGCTGGGGTCAGCGTTTCTGTGTGCTGGAAATTTGGGACATCTGGAGTGTCGTTCATGATGGTGTTAGGAAAATTAATCTACAAACAGCAGAGGTTCATGTCCAAAAAGGAGACAGAGGAGTCCCATAACTTTATTTGAATAAAGGGTGAGGCCATGGGATATTTCCATGGGGTCTCTCAAATTGTTAGATGATGCAGCCTCCTTTTTATCCCAATTTCCCAGCCACATTTTCCTCTCTCTTTCCACGTTGGCTGACATACTTGAGAGGTACAGACTCCTCAAATCACCTTATACAGACCCTCATCTAATGTGCATCACCCCCTTTTTTATTCTTTGTGTCTCTGTTCTTTTTCTCTGAGTCCAGGGATTTAGCACTGCCTTGGTGACTAACAGTCTGTGTCAGTGGGTGGAATTCCTATGGAATTTATGGTTCTTCCCATTGCTCCTTTCACTTATCAGGATCTGGCCTTGGAAACCCTCAGAGCTGGGCTCAAACCCCTTCCCTGGGGCAGGGACAGCATTTCAKTGTCCCACAGGGAGCTGGGATCTTTGTGCTGGTGGAGCAGGGAGAGACTGGGCTGCGCTCCTGTGGTTTGCAGCCACTGGAAGCTGCTGGTGCCCAAGATCTTGGGGTGCCCAGAGAGCAACTTGGGGGCAAAGCTGGAAGCAGGGAAAAAAGGCTCCAGGCGATCCCAGAGCACAGCATCGCCGTGGGCGAGTGGCCATATAAGCGTGTTTGAGTTTGTGGGCTAGAAGCAACCGTGCCTGTTCTGTTCCCAGCCTAATTTCAGCATCAATTTTGGCGTCATTGCACCGGGAATGTTTTTATACCCTGGTTCCCATAACGCCCGGAGATTTGCAGAGCGGCGTTGCTTCGCGGGAGGCAAACTGGATGGTGTGCGATGGGGAAACTGCTTCAGGAGGGGCTCTGGGGAAAGGCTGCTTTTAAACCTCAGGACAATGTCAGGCTGTCAGCATTGGGGACCCCCTTTCTTGCCCAGTCTGTCACAGGGTCCCTCTGGGGGTGCAGGATGGTGTGTGTGGACAGATTGTGAAATCTAGACTGGWGCAGAAAGGGGAGAGTTCATTGCAAAGGCTTCATATTTCCATGTGGGTTTGGTTCTTCTCTTCCTAAAGGAGATGGCARTGTCAGGATCTTCCTGCTTCAGTGGGGGAATTGGGCAGGATTGAACCAGCTGAGTGTTCAGACCAAAAAAAAGTCGATTTAATGTCTGCTTCTGGTGTGTCAGTGGGATTAGGGATTAACCCCAGCACCTATTGCCCAGGTGTGATTGAGGACATCAGGGAATGGGATTTTCCAGCGTCTGGACAGCTGCTGCCTGCTCTCACAGTGGATGCAGCCCGCCCTGAGCCTTGCTCTTGGGTTAATGACTGTCTCCCTGCAAAACCTGCTTCCACCAGCGCTCCCCCTTCCCAGCCCTCGGCGCCGGCAGCAATTAGCAGCAGCACTCCCCGTGCCGGAGCCCTGCTGCTGGGGTGTGAGGGGATGGGGAACAGACGGGCAATTTATGGTCTGATCGACCTCGGGGCTTTGTTTGAGAAAGTCTGGGCTCCTGCTGCTTGGGGCGTCCTTGATGGGAAGGCTGGAGCTGATCCCTTCAGGGGCTGGGATTTGCTGATTCATTTTTTTGCTGAGAGCACTGAAAACTGTGCCTACCCTACAGGATCCCCTATTGACCACCAGAGCTGCTAAACTGGGTGCTCTCTCTCCCCTGGGATCCGAATAATCTCCTCAGCACCATTAGCAAAGCCTGGCAGACTTTGTGCTCTCACCGATGTCACTGTCATGCTCTGTCACCACATTCCCGATGGCCAGGACCATAAATAAGGTGCCTGCCTTCCCTGTTCCTCTGCAAAGAACCAGATGTTCCTGACCAGTAATGGAAAGGAGCAGGGACTTCCTTGGCTTTTAATGGAATGAGGATTTGGGGCCTTGGTATTGTCAAAGGCTGCTGATTCACCTCGGGGATGGCAAGAGCGGGTGTTCCTGGCACTGCTGGGCTGCACCTCCTGTCCTTCCCAGGGACACAGGGATGACTCTTCTCTCAGGGGGCTCATTGCGCAAAAGTTGTGGGTGCTTGGTCAYTTTGCTACTTGGAGAAAAAAAAAWKGRWTTYYKSCCYTTTTTWAAWTWAAAAAAAAWGAGGGATGCTGTCCCTGGGGGATGCAGGAGGAGGGCTGGGAAACCACAGGGATGTTCTGCCATCACCTTCATCACTGGGAGCAGCACGCCAGAGCAGGCTCCTGCTGCTCACCAGCACGGACCTTGCCCAGCCTGTGCCCCAGGTTTGGGGGGCCTGGTGGGGGATTTGGCTTTCCCACCAGGATAAAGCGATGGGAGGTTGAGTCCTTGCAGATTAACGCTGCAGGGGACAGGGAGATGGCAGGAAAACCACTTTAGCAATCTCTCAAAGAAATTGCCTACTGCAGAACCCCCCTGTGTGGCTGTATCATGATTTTAAGATCYGTTTTCCCAACCTTCTACCGGGCCTAGGAGTGTGGCTCCTGGAATTTGCAGGCWTTACAACAGGCTGATTTCCACATGGGTTATTTYGYCTGTGTGCTTGCTTTTTGCTTTCTYCATGTCARCTTTGCCTTCATGAAGTAGAAATTGGGTTAAAATAAACTGATTCTGGGGTGTTATGGCTTTTTCAACACCCATCCCCGGGAGCCTGGGGGACTTTGATTTCTTTTGGAAGGGGGTTTGATTTTGAGACTGCCTCTGTGATCTGAAATAGGAGCTAAGGAGTATTTTGCTTTTCTTCATGTCCTGGAGCAGCCACTCCTTCCCTGGGCTGGCTCCAGACCAAACCTGATTTCTGTAGGGACCAGAGGGAAGCACAGCGTTGGCAAAGAGACTCACTGTCCTACTTCTCCGCCTCTGCAGCCGTGCTGGYGTGGGGCAGGGGTGCATTTTGTCATTAAACACCGCTGCTGGGGCTTGGGGGATGGCAGGACTGGTGAGGGGCTACCCGGGCACAGCACAGGCACTCAGTGACACCGGCAGCTTTGGATGCTCAGCTCCAGGGAGCAAACAGGCGAGGAGGAGTTTGCAGTGGATATTTCCCCTGGAATGCCGGCTGGGCGGGCTGTATTTATTCACTGCAATTGTTTGTTTGTGTTCCCGTGAATCGCAGGTAGCGAGGAGGAGCCCGATGTGACGCTCTCCTGTTCCCCCCACGCTGCCAGCAGTGGGGATGGGAACACGAACACCCGTGGAGGGATGTGCTGGGGGCAGGTGGGAGCTGTGGGGAGAGGCAGGCAGGGCATCCAGGGCTGCCTGCTCATCCTGARGCAGAGCTGGAGCACAAATCTGAGGAGCTGAAGGAGCTGGTGGGGCTCAGCTTGGAGAAAAGGCAGCTCAGGGGGAGCTTCTCACTCTCCACAACTCCCTGACAGGAGCRTGTGACCSGRTGGGGATTGGTCTCGTTTTCCAAGCAACAGAGCAAGAATTGGCCTCAAGTTRCARCAGGGGAGGTCCAGGTTGGATATTGGCAAAAACTCCTTCTCCAGAAGGGTCATCAAGCCCTGCCASAGCCAGCCCAGGGAGTCYCCATCYCTGGAGGGATYTCAAAGATGTGCAGATGTGGCACTCGGGGACATGGTYGGGTGGTTAGGCTCATCGATCTGAGATGGCTTTCCCAGCCTAGAGGATTTTATGATTCTTGCTGGTTTTACTTGCAGGGTCTGAGCCTTCCTCACRTTCCCCTGCATGGATCTGGCTGTTAGGCTGAACTCCTCATCCTCTTGTGGGATTGGAACCATTGGGAAGAGGGAGAGCAAAGAAGTGCAGGAAGCCTTAGGAAAGGCCAGGGCTGAGGGCTGAGAGCCTTCTGGGTGCTTCTGCAGCAGGAGGGGAGCGTTTGCTGGGGAAAGAACATCAAGCCCTTGGCAGCTCCCAAAACACCTCCCAAAATGCAGCGGTGGTGGGCAGAGCTGTGTCCACAGCCCTGGGGGAGCAGCAGAGAGCCAGGAAGCTGCAGGGTGAGGCTTGGGTGCCAAGTGTGAGTGGGGACGCAGCAGGAGGGGCTGGAGAACAGGAGCTGCTGCAAGGATGGGGGTTTTGATGTGAGTGTGACTCAATCCCCATGTGCTTCCAGCACGCTGGAGGTGCTGGGGCCAGGAGGGGAGGACATGTCCTCAGTGTTTGGGATCTCCTGTACATGTGGGGTGCAGAAGGGTTTTGATGAACCTCACCATGTGCAGAAGTCATTTTGTGCTGCTGGGTGAGGGGCTGGGTTTGCACAAGTTGGCTCGGACTGGTTGTCTGTGAAGCACCAAACCTGAGATCACAGAATCACAGAATGGTTTGGATTGGAAGATCCCAGATCCTTTAAAGATCATCTCATCCCAACCCCTCTGCCACAGGCAGGGACACCTTCCATTAATCCAGGTTGCTCCAAGTCCYATCCAACCTKGCCTTGAACACTTCCACTGCCTCTCTGGGGTAACCTGTACCAGTCCCTCACCATCCTTCTTTAAAAAAATTCTTCYTTATATCCAATTTAAATCAACCCTCTCTCAGATTAAAACCACTAACCCTTGTCCAGTGACAACAGGCCCTGCTGAAATGTTTGTCCTCCCCATCCTCACAAGCCCCCTGAAAGTACTGAATGAAGATCTTGTGCTGGAGCCTGGCTTTGAAACGTGGTGATATTTTTGAAACAGGGACTGTTTCAGGCAGTGCTGATTTGGGGCGCTGGGAAAGGGAGGTGTGGTATGGCCATGCTGGAGCAAGACTTGGCTGTCCTGCTTCCTGCCCCACCCTCATTTGCCCCAGTCGATCTTGGAGGAGGAATCTGTTGTAAAACAGGGTTTTTTTTTTTCCGTGGGTTTTCCCAAAATTGCTCATTCCATGCTGGCACCAGATCTTGGGGTTTCACAGTCATCCCTTGGGTTGCTCAGCACTCAGCTGCCCTTCCCAAAAGTGTGAGCGAGAT